CCCCCCCCACACACACACACACACACACCTTTTGTCAATGTTCAATATAACAAATTAGAAGAGCCCATGTCCTGCACTTACAATCAAGAAACATGGTTTAAAATGGCATTAACGTACTGATATTTAGATTAGGCTTAAAAGTCTTCTATAAAAAAAGAAATTGAATAGGACTGATAGTCCCTTTAGGAACTATATAACTGTACATTATTATAGGTTATGTTCCTCTGCCAACTAAATAGGAGTTGATCGAACTTTTGAGACGTTCGCATTTTATGTTTTTCATTAAAACTGATCACATTCTAGTAGGTTACAGGAAGTATAGCAGAAAAGCATCAAACTACAGAACTCAGCCACAGGCATGGCTATTTTTAGCTTTCTAAATACTAGGTTGAAGAACCAAAACAGCTTTCTTGAAACCTTTAAAAGGAGAACACCTTTTTTATAAAAAAGACTAAACGAAAACCAAAAAGGTATATCTATCCAGTATCCATCTTCCCAAGCCATTCCGTGATTAAATGCAATTAACCATTTCAGTACCAGCTTGTTCACCCCTCTTCATTACCAGGACATTTATCAGTGCTATGAAGTATGACTGAGAACTACTGCCACGCAACACTAATTTTATTTTAAAAATGAAGAGCTTTTGTGGTAATCTATCCATACCCTTTCCTTACTTTGTTCAAAAACATCAAATTAAAATGTCAGGACACTACCAAACCCCCCAAAAAGAAACATGTCAGTACTGAGGGAGTTAAAACATGGTGTACTAGATACAGTAACTGTACAGGTCATTCACAGGCTGCCATATAGGAACGTGTCCTCCCAGAACATGGGGCTGCAGACCAGCCAGTCATGTAGTGGTCAGTCTGCAGTAGGTTATGACCAATCATTTCAATGTGCAGCCAACAACACTTACACGTTTCTTCCTTTAACCATGTCAACACTGGTGGCCTTCTATACATAATAGTTTTGTACAGAACACATCCAAATATTTCATTTTCACAATAGCATTTTATGGGTTTGCAGAGGTTCAATTTTACCTGTAGGAGTGTACTAACAAAAAGGAGCTGTGCTTTAAGAAAATAGTGCCGATGGAGGTGGTCATTGCTGACCTTTTCTAAAATGCTAGTTTCCAGGTTTCCATGCATTTTTAACCACTTAACCAGAACAAAGTATACATAGAAGAACTTGCCTGCTACATGTTTTTTTTCAGGTCAATGCCAATGTTTCTGTACACACTGATCTTATTAAAGCTGAAGCCCAAATGTATCCTTGTTCACCTAATCAAACTTGCCATTCTGAAGAAAAGAAACTAAAGAATTATCTAGGAGACCTATTACTTGACCTGCCAGTAATGAAACTGGGTTTTTCTTCATGTTGGGTCCAACACACCTGTCTTGTGCTGCAAAACAACACGCGGTACCGTGGGCTGCTACAATGCAACAGACATGAAGACTCATCACATTTAATGCACCACAGTGTGAACTAAGCCATATCCTTTTAGAGTGTGATATTTCTTTGCGCTAAAATGTTTTACATCCAACAATTACCATTTCTATGATCCCTTAGGTGGCAAGTGTCAAACTGATCAGAAAACACACTTTAAAAAAAAGATTTTATTTAGCAATAGCCATTATTCCTAGACCTATATCCCACCACAGATTCTAAAAACAAAAGTCCCAACATTTTTGCCAGACTGCTACTAAACCAAGGCCAAATAGAACAGCATGGACACTTAACATATTAAGAGGCACAGAGCTGCAATTCTCCTTGCATATAGGGTGGGCTTTCAGGACCATTATAGTGATATCCATCTATAAAAAGTGTTAGAGTATCCACCTTCAAAAGCACCAGTACAGAAATGGAAACCTTTGTCACAAGATTTTTCTTCTAGGGTTAGGTCACAGAAGAGCTTGAGAAGGCATGTGTCCTAGGATTAACTGAAGAACCCAATTTTTGCGATTAAGAAGTCTTGCATCAGTTCTTGAAAAAGTAGAGTACACAAATAAATAGGATGCCATTCCATTAAGTCTCTTGAACAGGATTATAAACAGTCAGCACTTGGTGCAAATCACATGAAGTATTCTTGCTTTTCCTCACTGGGATCAACAGTTTTCCCTTGTAAAGCCTTATCCGCCTCTCCCTCTTCTATCATCTCATGGGTACGGTAACTGCCTTTGTGTTTGTACAAATAGACTGCAATCAGTGCCAGCACAACCAGGACAGTTATGACTACAGCAGCAATCACACCTGTAAAACATAAATACAGTCAGATTAGCAAGTATTTACACTATTAAATGTTGGGCATACGAAATACATGCAGCTGTTTATTAGGTGGGAAGTAAAAAAGATCACATTAGGTGCCAATTCACAGGAATCAACTGTGCCAGTATTGCCAAACCCACATCTTTGGTTCAAAATGTACTGCCATGAAAAATGAAACAAAGAATCTGATTGGTTGCTACAGCCACCTGCTTTAGTATTCTTTTGAATTCTCATACCAGCTCAGCCCTCAGGTATGGGTTAGGATAGCTATGGATTCCCTTTAGGCTGTTGAGCATAACATTCCATCTTTAAAAATTAGGTTTTGTTTCCTACCCATTGTTATAACTCCATACGTTACGCAAATACAGGTCTTACAAAGCACAACAATGTGACCATATACACAAAAAGGTAATACAATACGTAAAAAAAACCCCCCAAAAATTACCCAAACAAGAACAAATTGTATCCCAAATTACACGCGTTGGTATTTATGTGTCAAGTCCGAAAAAGATCAAGTTCAAAGCTCAAGGTAAAGAATGCTCCAACCCAGAAACCTCAAATATCCACCTCAGCCAGTGCCTTTAGAGTGAACACCCTGTACGCCAGGGGTGGCAAACTCCGGCCCTCCAGCTGTTGTGGAACTACAAAGTCCCTTGAGGCTTTGCAAGATTCTCACAGCCACGACTCGCAGAGGCAGATGCATCATGGGATTTGTAGTTTCACCACAGCTGGAGGGCCTGAGTTTGCCACCCCTGCTGTACGGGGAAGCGCTCACCTTCTCCTATGACCTAGTATATAGGTCTTACAGTGCTCTGACGAAGTCTTGATTGATGCAACGTGCGTAGCTTTCTCTTACATGGTTGTGGGTGGAGTCACAGCTTCAGCAAAAGGTCCAGATTTTTGCAAGCAAGTTTTTAAATAAAGGATTTTCGGTTTTTATATTGGTGTGTGCTTTCTCTATTTAGGATACTGCATTATGGGGAGAGCCGCCGGAGGGGGAAGAAACAGCTAAAATGGCTGTGGATTGCCATATATTTGAGGGGGACTCTGGCAGACAGCCAACGGGTATAGTCTAGGAGAGGGCTCAAAATTTCAAATCCTGAGCTACTCGCCACCAGTTGCCCCACCCAACCCCTACCTACAGTGCAGAGGTTAGTGTAACGCACAGTGTAAGGAAGAAGGAAAAAAAAAAAAAGGGACTTACAGTGAACCTAGCTGATGGTCCTTTTCCCCCCTGCACAACGTTCTGGCCAGGTGTCACTGTCTCTGCAGTCTTCCTCCCAGCCTATGGCAGCTGACCGGGCCGAAGGAAGCTGCAGAAGACAGCGGAACTGAATGTTATCGACAGGGATAGGCACGGACCAAGGCTGTGGCAGACATTTTCCAGCCTTGGGCACTAGGCCAGCGAATTGCTGCTACTGTACTGATCTCTGCAAAGGCTTCCCCTCCCCCCCACCTCAGCATCGGGCCCCTATTATTCAGTTTTGGGCACCAGCTGCTTGCTGCTACTGTGCTGATGCAGAATCAGCACAGTCGGCATTGGATGAACAACCGTTGACAGCTGCACAAGTGTGGGGTGTCCCCGCCCGGCAAGGGATGGGTTCTGCAAGACCTATATACACTAGGTCATAGGGGAAGGTGAGCGCTTCCGCCACCGCACAAACTGGGCAGGGCACGGGAATTAAAAAAATCTCCCTAATGTTTACACAAGAGGCAATACAAAAAAAAAAAAAACGACAAAAGGGTTCGAACCCTTCCTCACCCTGAAAGTATTTTAAAGCATAGCTTCAGACAAAACATTAGGTTTTTAATTGCGAGTCATTGCACAAATTGCTTGGTTTAGGTTTCATGGGTTGGGGCCTTGTGCAAGATAACTATATTGACTTTTTCCAAATCTTGACAGCAGACTTAGAGAGTCTTAGTCTAGTTACCTGCGATTACTGATGTATCAAGGCCGTCCGCAGCAGAGCTTGCTGTTGCCTTCACAACTGAAGAACTGTCTGAGGGAAAAAAAAACAAAAACACCACTATTAGACCATGCTAGTATGACAAGGGCCTGTGCTGATGGGCTTTGGGCTTGTGTCGATGGCATCAGTTTAAAATAATTCAGAATTGCTTGAATGATAACCTGCATGTGACCTCCTTCAGGCATTTTTTTGCAATATCATAGTCTTGTATGGGAATTCAAAACCCATTTGAAGTGAACAAAAGCCTTTCAGCACAGGTACTTACCAAAGTCAATGAAACATGTTAAAATACACACACACAATAAGACAAGGGTTTCAGACTGAAAGCCATCTTACCTGTGGCAAAATCTGCTGTAGTTGTAAGCTCCATATTAAAAAGGCAAGGCAGTCCTTTTGCAGAGGTTAACCTTCATGAAAAGATGAGAGAAATAAATATGCAATTCCATTTCCCCACTACAGATAGGGTTGCCACCTGTCCAGGATTCACCCTGTCCAGGATTCACCCGGACAGTCAGGGTTTTTAATGCTGTGTCCGGGTTCCATGGCAGCAGAAACCCGGACACAAAATTTCAGGCAGACGGGGCAACCAAAATTAAAATCGGTGCTACTGGCCTCCCACTGAAAATAGTCTCAACTGTGATATTTACATATGAATGGGTGGCGCTATTTACATATGAATAAGCCACGCCTCATTCTCCCCCAAAAATGTCTGCGTGTCGCTAGAGTGTTCGGGTTTCTCTTGAAGAAAAAAGGTGGCAACCCTAACTACAGACAATCTAGAACTTAGGAACGTGTGCACACTGAAATAAGGTCGTCATCCCAGTCATTAACCTGGAACTATCATGCAGTCATTGGTGGTGTCTGAACTCTTATCCCACATGCTTTTTCTAAGTTTATGGTTTCAAAGATTGTAAGGACACCCCAAAGCCTAACAAGTCAGCAATGTTGGTTAAATAGGTCTGCCTGCAAAGGATCCAGCACACAATCAATATATCTCAGTGTAATAGCTAGTCTCTCTCACAGGATATTAAATCTGTGACAGTCTCATTGTCACAGGTCGGCTAGAACTATGAGGTGAGTGGAAATCACTCATTTCATAGTTCTCCTTTAAGTTTAACATACAATGGCAACATGTGGAAATCAGTAGGCAATCAGTCCATCCACAAAGCCAAATTGACACATGCTTCCACTGAGAACACAGCCTTTCGCCCTGTATAACCCCCTGGTTATTAGATCTGGGAGTATTCTACAAGGATCCTGCACAGCACGGCAACCCAAAAATACTTTTTTGCTATAAAAGGGCTGTATCCCCAATTTACAGTAAACTCCAAACTGAATAGCTGTAAAGACATTTAAACATCGCCTATTGACAACTTTGGGTACCATAATTACCATTTTGCAGGCAAACCCAGTTTTGAGGCTTGACATATTTGGCATCTATTTACTCCATACAACCTCACCTTTTATACCCAAAAAATTAAAATTAATGAGATTTATATTGCGTTTGTGGGCACAAATGCATATAGATTTGATGAACAGTTGCACAAAATTGTGCAACATAAAAAAAAATTACAACTGTCATTTTTTTTATTCTACCTCTGCTTTCAGAAAATCTATCATGTTTTGTGAGTTAAGCAAAACATTTTTTAGCCAAAAATGCAGATCATAACATGAGCGCCATAAATGAAAAAACTGCTCTGGTAGCGAAGTGGTTAAACATATAATCAGCAACGAGCATCAGGTTAGCGTTTGCTGTGTATTCCTATATGAAAAGGCCCCACAATTAGCAATATGTACACAAATAAAAAGGTCTGTGCCACAAAGAAGACAATTAGAACTATCACATGTCATAGGTATTACCTAGTCACTGGTTACCAATCTGTTATACATCTATCCAATGCAGGAACTCTGAGGGCTCCAGGTGATAGAAGGTGATATCCAAAAAGATGTACAACTATAGCCTATAGCAGGGCTGTAGCTACCATGGGGCAAGTGAGGCACTCACCCCAGGCGCAGCAGAGAAAGGGGCAGGCCTAGCTGCGCCCCTGTTGCCATGGCGAGCACAGGGCGTCCTTGGCAACAGGGGCACCACGCAGCCAAAACAGCCGGGACTCAGTAGGGAGAAGAAGCGGCACAGGCTTCAGCTTCTCCTCGAATCCTTGCTGCTCTCCCCCACCTGTATGGGCAGAGGACTCTGAGTCTTCAATCTCTTTTTCTATTTCAAAAGGGAAATGTTTAGACCCCTGATATTTCCCCGAAGCCCTCCAACAGTGAAAAAATAAAAAAAAAACACCACACACACACACACACACACACACGTGCAAAGACTAAAAATTTGTTTGACAAAATGAACCGAAAATAAAAATGTTTATTCGTTTTGTCAAAGAACACATTTTTATGCTATCTTGGATTCAGCCACCAGTGCATTCAGCACATGCGCACTGCCATATTGGAGGCGGGGTGCATGACGCCACATACGTCTGTTGGTGGGCACAATATTCTGTACTCGCCTTGGCCGCAAAAGAAGCTAGCTACAGCTCTGGCCTACAGACCTGAACATAACCCAAATCCAGTCTTTGCTTGAATAGAAGCAACACGAGTCACCCTAATAGGTACCCTTACTCCATGACAGATAGTACTTTGTGATTATCCTAAAACTGTTATATGGTGGTGGTTTAGGTGGCAGCAACAGTATTGTGACCCGAGTAAGCTCCGACTACAACGACTTAGAGCTTACAAAAGGGCTTGCTTTTCTTGCCCCCAGCAGCGGAATGGAGAGGTGGATAAGCAAGGCAAGTATGTAGTGCTGGGAAGGGTGGAATTGGTTCACATTAAATCTTAATAAAAATAACCAAACACACAGCGATTCAGATAGAGCTGCAGCTAACGATTATTTTCAAAATCGATTAGTTAGCCGATTATTAAGTTCGATTTGTGAACCACTTTACATTTTTTCCCTGTGTTTTAGCATTTCTTGCCCAGCTGATTCATGGATGACATATGTTGTGTTCTGTCATATAAAAATGGCTTGGTATAGCTTGATGTGCATGTTTACACCCTCAATAATTCCAACTTAAACTCAAATACCTTATACATAACAGAAGAACTGCAGCTTATTAAAAACGAGTGCCTAGTGACAACGGCGAAGCAGATGTTTTCTTCTCTAGACAGGCTTGCTTCTTCAAAGCTACTTTGATTTCACAATAAAACAATTAATAGAGAAGCTGCGCCTTGATAATAAAGCCGGCGTCTTCTTACTACGCTACTTCAATCCCAGAAGCCTATAGATCTGCTACACAGCACATGCCTGAAGTATCTGACAAACAAGTGACCTACAACACAAATGCCCCTGGGGAGGTGCACAGGGCCAACTGTGAAGACTTGAAGGGTCAACTTTTCGGTCTGGGCTGATCCAAGCAGCTTTTTTCTCCTGTCTGTCAATTTCTGCACCAGTTACCAGACTTGGGAGTCAAAAAGTACAAGATGAATATTTTTGAGTACAGGCTAGAACCAACCCCAGTCACCCTTGCAATGCACATGGATCAAGTCACATTTTTTTTTTTTTTTTAAATGTAATTTTTATTAAAGTTTTACTAACAGGTTACAATACAGTGACATGTTGCTTTCAACACAACGTGAATTGCAGCGAATGATCAGAATATTAACAGCAATCAAAACAGGGACACGAGAGGAAAGGGTATACAAATACAGAGAACAGGAGGGAAAGATCCACAGGACATCTTACAAAAAATTAGGGGTAAAACCTTTGCACAGGTCCTTGAGTCCGCCTCTCAGCCTCCAGCTCGGCGCCCCCTACACGCTTACATGTCATCTTTAACCATTATTAATGCCATGCATCAAAACCATTATGCAGGGTTCATCAGAGATATTTCTACACCTGTGTAGGGAGATATCCCCATCCAGTACATACCAAACAAATAACTCTCACCAATCTCAACTGCCACTTGAGGAATGGTGCACAGATCTGTGTATCCATCTCGTCCATATATTATGAAATTTAGAGATATCATCTCTATGCTGAAATATCACTCTTTCAAACGCTATCAGTCGGTCAAGCTCTGCTATCCACATGCTTACCATGGGGACTGTTGAGGAGATCCAATGAAGCACAATCACTCTACGTGCTGCAAGCAGGGCCCTGGATACAGCAGTCAGAGTCATATCGTCCCATAGATATCGGCATCCATGATACCAAGCAAGCATGTGATCGGAGAGCAAGAGACCTGAACCGAGAAGACTGAGCTAATAATTCTAGTGACCCCGCTCCAATATCTGACCAGTTTGGGACATCGCCACAAGAGATTGAGAAGGGATCCCGGGGATATCCCACATTTGGGGCACTTGGAATCAGTCCGAAGCCCAATTCTAAAACAGGAATTCCGGGGATCTATAAGTTCCGTGTAGGATAGAAATTTGGGTCCACCTATGAGACGGATAGGGATGAGAGCCCAATCCCATGTAGAGCCATCTCCCAGTCCTCGTCCGATATAGCGGGCAGCTCCTCCTCCCATCGCAAAATCGGATATTTTATAAAAAAACGTGGGAGCAGAGTTGCATATATCTTGGAGAGATCACGTCACATTTATGCACATTATGTCACGCCTCAATGGGCTGCCCTATGGGCAGTAAAGCTCATACAGTTTTTGGGGTGTTTATACACACACACACACACACACACACACACACACACACACACAGCCATTAACAAGTAATATTACCGCAAACATGCCATGCATTTACCCGCGTTGCATAGGCTTTATAGGAAAAATATGTTGTCAGCACACTTAGTTTCTGAATTTTTCATTGACATTCATATAACATTAAAAAAAAATAGAAAGGTTTCAAAAACTCGCAGATTCCCTTCATCAGAGCCAAGTCTGTTGGAGAAAACATGTTTATAGGGAAGAGATTCCATCTTTGTTCTGACATATTTTGCCAATGAAATGTATAGGTCTGACGCCACAGAACGTTTTGTCAGTAATCCCACTTTTATACTGTGATGTAACCGAATACACAGCACCAAGACAAAGTTCACACATGTCGGCATATGGGCATGGGGCGGGGATGGGGTTTGTGGTGTACAAGACAATACCTGGTGCTGTTCAGTTTCAAGGAAGGCATTTGGGTACCAAATAAAAGATAAGAAAAAAAATAAACCAGTAAAACAGGATCACTTATCAAGATGAACATGAATGTGTGGGTCAAGATTTTTCTAGTTTTAGATACTGCTATTTGGGGCGCCATGGGAGATTTATACTGACTGTTCTGCTGACAACTATTACCAAATTTATTACCAATTAGTAGAATTCTGCAACATGTTGCCATGTGTTTTAATACATGGTGCACTGCACATCTATGCCGAGATGCATTTTGATGATTTTTAATA